TCCGGTGTGTTCTGCCATCTCCTGTCCTTTGCCAAGCAAACACATGGATGCCTAAAATGTGCTAGGCACAGTGCTGACTGAAATAGATACCTGTGCTTGGATTCTCTCATTCTAGTATTTGCAAATGGACCTTAACTTCAGTTTATAGAACATAGGCTGGGGAAAATAGTTTACATGAGTGAAATAAAACTTTCCTCCTAATGAACATTATGGAAGCCTTGTGGTCTTCCTCTGTCCCCCTTTCCCCTGTGTATGTAAAGTGAGCTTACGGTTTAAAGCAAGAAGTGGGAATGAATTTGTTGACCATGTAAACTCGTTAGAAATATTGTGGAATTAGAAAAAATTTTTAAACTACATGGGGGAGTTAAAAATAACCTTCAGCTGGGATTGAGTTTAGATTTGAATCATTTCTCATCGTTTTTCTCTCTTATTAATGTTGCCTTTTTATTCAGCATTATTCCTTCCACAGTGCTAGACATTAAGAACAGTTTCTATCTCTATATTTTCCCAGGTCAATAATTTTTTGGGCAAATGAAAGGAGGTACAAAAATCATATCATTTGAAATAATATGTGACTTAAAACTGCATATAATTTATCAAAAACAGGCCTCTTCTGTGTACATTTGCATCTAAAACATCAAATATTTTTTCCTCCTTTGCCCTGCTGCTCCAGTTAGAATGGCCTCAAACTAAAGATGCCAGAGGTTTGATTTCTCCCTTGGAGAGAGATCTTGCTTGGAATTAAGAGCTGGAGAATGCTTAGTTAGTGTGGGCTGAATGACTTTGGAGACATAAAGAGGAGGGGGGTTTTTTTGTTATGTTTTTTACGGAGAGAGCTAAAATACTTCCCCAAGTGTGTCAGTCTAGCAAAACTCAGAACTAACCCTGCCCACAACAGAACAAGTTCTAATTGCTACTTTAGTTTTGAGTTTAAAAGCAAAGCCTTATTGTTTATCCTTGGAAATTAGGAACTTTGTATTTCATAGGGAGGCAGCATGGATTAATGTTAATAGTTACTTTCATACTCTACTAAACTTTTTTTTTTCTTTTAAGGTAGTCTGTTGTCATGTTTCCTGTATTAGTCTTCGTAATTGCATTCTGCATTTCCTGAATTTAGACAGGCATTCCTAGAGGTATTGAATTTGACATTCACAGTTGATTCCAAGGATTATATTTAAAATTGTTGAGATAAATATGAATCTACAAAGTATAAGTTACATGAAGCTATATTTTGTTTAGATTCTTTCTTGTAAAGAATTCTGCTAAATTCTGGCATCGTAGAGAAGTAGTCCTGCTCATGACAGGTAAATCAAGTTAAAGAGGGGCATTTTACAGAAAATGCTGTTTGATTTCCACCAACTGTAGAGAGCAAGGTAAACAATGAAACAACTCCAAATTCATCACTGTGGTTTGAAAAGGCCTTTTATGTCACGTCTCGGGATGGCTAAGTACAGAAGTGGAATGAGACAGCATCAGTTCTATTATTACTCTTGACTCCTCTGATAGGCCCCCATTTAGCAACCAGACAAGTTACTTTATATCTTTGTAGATTGGCTATTAACAAGGAGCTACTGTGTCACTTATTAAAGTTTGCCTAATATTTCAAAGTGTGGAAGTGATGCGTTAAGGTCTTTCATCTGCCTATACTCTTTCATGGTGGCCCCTCTTTTGTACCTATAAAATTTGTCTAGGTTAAATCTTGGAACATTAATCTTAATGAACATTTGAACGCTGTTTCTCAGTTTTAATTATTGCAGAACATGTGACCACTCCTTATCTTACAACTTTCAGAAAAGTTTAATTAGAAAGAAAGGTTTAGTTTTCTGAAAAGTATTTCCTTGTGTTATCTTGGCTTGCTCCATTTTCTTTTACTAATATATTTTTGAAATAAGCTTTTAATGGTTTTCTCAGGTATGTTTAGGCTTCGTATAATGTTATCAAGATCTTAGTGATATGAGCTTTATCTCTTTGTAGGTCAGATACTAATTTATCTGCTTAATCCTATTTTAGCCACCAAAGTCCTTGGCACTGTCAAATGGTTCAACGTCAGAAATGGATATGGATTTATAAATCGGTATGTGTGTGTATCTACATTTAAATTTATATTTATGCTGTGGCACCAGCGGTTATAAATCCCTTACTATACTTTATTAATGGCTTGTATACATTTTTTAAGTTTCTAAGTACTGTAAATATTCTCATTTCTAAGCTGCTGGTTGTCAGATACTAATTTATCTGCTTAATCCTATTTTAGCCACCAAAGTCCTTGGCACTGTCAAATGGTTCAACGTCAGAAATGGATATGGATTTATA